GGGAAACACCGAATATTATTTTATTATTTTTTAAGCCCGATTTCACGTATGACGTGTTGAAGAGAATACAGTGTGACTCTAACAAATAAATAGATAACAATAAACAAAACTATTTTCCAGTTGATATCTTGCGATAAAGTGAGAGAGCGACTATTTGATATAAAGATTACTGAAAAGTAGGTATTTTTGATTTATTAACATGGACATGTTTGAAGTTTTCCTGTATCTTTGAATTTTCATTGAAATATCCCTTGCATCGCAGTGATACTATTGAAAAATGGTGCGTTTTGGCATCTGCACATGCTGTCGTAATAATAATTTTGGAGATGGGAGAAAAAATATTGACGAGGTGATGACTTTCATCATCATCTCGTCAAAGGCCAATAAAATTTTAACAGCATTGTTCATTCGAGATATCAGAGATGAAACATAGCTCACGGGTTTGTTAAACACAATCCAAAAGCATGCGGATCGAAGGCCCGATCACCGCTTAAATCTGGTGAAACAATTGTGGTAATACAATACCGGAGAATATTCCTGGCTCGGCGGCAACCCGCGCTAGGTACCTGCGTAAATTCGAATCGCGCGTGAGTAATGCTGGACTCCCCGCCGTCTTAGAGTGGTTCACGTAATGACTTGTCTGTTACGGCTTCTTTTACCAACCGCGTTTGGACGCATCGTGCTTCCATTTTAAACAAAACTGGTAAACAAAAACTAGACTTAAAAGATTATTTTCGTTAAGACAAATTCCTTTGAACAAATTGATGCAGTATTTGAGTATTATATATTCCATAACTCGTCTTCTATCTATAGAATAATCAAATTTTAGCGTCACAATATACCAGAAAATGTAAACACAACTTGACTGTCGCCATGCTATCTATTGGTCCAACAATCAATTCAACGCTGGAAATGTATTATGTCTCAAACAAAACATCGATGTATAATCTACCTCATTAAAATCCAGACGAGGATAAAGCACAGGATAATTGATGTAATATTGAATTTTTTTTCTCGTCGACGAACTCAGCATCGAATTGAGACATATAAATAACGTGGACGAATAGCACGCTTCTTTTTCACTCGCGTTTTACGAAAATGATGTGGAGCGAATACTCTGAGTTTAGGCATTTTAGTGTTAACGTTGTTTCGCAAATACCGGACTTGTTTCAAATATGAGTGGTGCTTGTAAGGGTGATAACTTTATTAATTCTAATCGTGTTTTTTAGGATATTAGAAAATATTAGACGCATTAATAATTCATGTAAAAGTTGATTACATATTTAATAATTTAATGACGCTTAAGCGTAAATTCTAATCTAGTTTTGGCTTTTTAATTTTATTGCCATTTATGAAGATAACCAAATATACTAAAATTGATGGACGGTTTTGTAGAAGTAGTTTTTTGTTTTGTTGTTTGTTCTCTCGTCACTAAAACGTTCTTAACTTAAATAGAGAAATCGCACGCGATCGACAAATGAAAGAAATAAAGAGCATTAAAACAACTGTATAAATTGTTTTCATAAAAAACTCATTAATATCTTATTCCATATAATAGTGATTTTTTAAGCTTTAAGTTTTTTCTTTCTGATTTCGTGTACAAATTTGAGAGATATTCAGGTAAATAATTTCAATAAATAGGCTACAGACGCAGGACAAAGCGAATGTTTGTGTTTACGCGCCTTAGTTGACACATTCGTATATATTTACGCTGAATAGAATTAATTTAGTATTTTGTAGCTCAAACGTCGTTTGCTGGTTTTTTAGGTTTACCGACAGCAAATTTTATGTTATTTACGTATTACTAATTGTGATCCATCAATTAGATACGTCGCGGCCCATTCCCTCTACTCACTCTATAGGTCAACTTATGTGTACGCGCGTCTTTAATTAAGTTGTGTCACATGTTTCCCGTACTAGGTCAAGGGTTAGGTACCTATCACTAAAGAATAATTTGCGAAACATCTATCTGCTTGTTTATTTCCCTAGTCATAACAAATCAGTAATGAGTCAAAATATGACATTTCAATTGCAATTTGTGCAGCCGCTCAGACAAATAATCAAGCATGGTTGTAAACATTGCCGCCTTTTCGTAGTTTTGCGTGTTATTAGTCAGTTTTCGGTTGTGCTTCCAAAAAAAACTTGAATTTAGATGCAATATTGAAAAATTAGTGTCGCAAACGCTACGATAGACTAGGTTTAGTATTGCTATCAGTATCTGATGATGTTCACTTTACAATTGCCGATTCTCAAAAACGCTCTCAAAATAAGCATACAACATTTTGCAATGGTAAAGTATCCAAAAAATTTTTTTGGGGTCAAGGATCTGGAAAACGTATATCACGTGGACAGTAAACTATCATTTCTGCCGTATATAACATCCTAATCGTTTTGGTTGAATTTCTGCATCGCTTTATTTAACATTGTTTTATTGATTTACCTCGCATGCGGATGCTTGTTTAAGAACTCCGAGTTACCAGCTTAATGAGTGGCGCCTGTCAAATGCTTATTGATTCTTTTCTAAGAATACTTCCTGGAAACATCGATATCTATCACCGCTATATTTGCTAGTTAGTGGCTGTCAAAATTTACTCCACACCATTGGTCAAAGGGGCTGAATTAAAATTTCCGAAGATAGAAAATCAGTAATTGAAGACGAGCAAAGTTTATATTATTTATGATTTATGGGTTTTTTAAATTCGAATTTGCGAAGGTAGTACAGATATTTCGAAGCACTGGTACGATTTTGTGGAAGTCAGTTTGCAAGGTTCCGTTGAGAGCAATCTATACAGGTGAAGAGCTTACTGCAGTGAAGGTTTCCAGGCCGTTGATGCTAGTATTGGTGTTTTGTTTTGTCAAGGACATGTCTTTTTGCGCGGTGCTTGGAACTTGATCTTCATACTTGTGATGTTAAATTGGATAAAAATATGAATGACGTTTAAAAATGAAAATACAAGAATGCAATTATATTACATTAGCGTGACGACCCGTGTTAATAAATAAAATAATATTTTCGACTGAGCAGAACAAAACAATTAGGAAACATACAATAAACATAATTATGAATATGTTAAATTCTTTTAAAAAATGTGATGAGAACCAAAACAGTTTCGTAAACTGATGCATTTATTCAGGGCAGCAAATTTTAAATACATTTAAAAAAATTTGGGTTTGGTATGGTTTATGGAAGAGTAGGCTTTTGTAGTTAAGGAACTCGACTTGATAAACATCAATTTCGTTTCCTCTACAAGTCTCCAAAGCAAGGTAGACCTAAATTTAGTTAAGATATTTTGTAATCGTCGGATTCGTACAATAAAGGACTGTTTGTCTCGGTTACACAATATCGTATCAACATGAACCGGAAATAATAATAACGAAGGTAACTGGATTTTTAATTGAAGTAATATAAAATTTAGCTTTCCACGACAGTACGTTTAATCCTACATTACGCAATAAATTGTTTTCTCATTTAATTAATACCGTTTGACATTTGACTCTTACGTAGATCACCGGTTACAAGATTCTTTCCAATAAGAATTAGTCAGTTTAAACTCATCAATATAACATTTTATGGTCATGCTTTTGAAAAACGATTATGTGACTAGTAATTGATGAACCACATTGCAAACTGCTACAAAAAGTTGTAAAACCATATACTTTTTTATTGTAAATCATAACAATAGCTTCGCGGCAATGTTCCAAAATAGTTCACTAACATAATTGTCAACATTGGGATACAGGGTAATTTGTCTAATGGTAAACCAATTTATCGCTGGGTATGATTTAGTAAAACGAGCGAAATTACGGATAACACAATTTTTCAGGTAAATTATATACTACTTTTGTTGAAAAGTACTAAGATTAACTTCAAAAGGTAATTATTAGTTCTAACTGTGGATTGCAAGATTATGTCGAGTGTATGAAAATTCTTTGGCCAGACGCTAAAATAGCAGTTTAAAAAAAGTGCAAATTTGAGTTATTGTTTGGTGAAAATTGGACGTAACTTTACATTATTATACAATTTGGGAGGGCTGTAGTGCGTACTGCATTAGTTTGCCGTCGAAATGAGAGATCATAATGAACTAACTAAAAATAAAATAAAACAAACAATCAAATACAAAGTTGTAACTATAAAGACAGGAACTATGTGAATTTGTACGCACAACTGGTAATCGATTTCTTTTTTCATGAAGCTTTTCACGCTTTTACTTGTGATGAGGATTCCGGCAAAGAGCCATTGATTCGCGGCGTTCGGTATAGTTCACTTCGGTATAGCCTGAAAATTGTTTATCTTTTAAGTAAACTGAGGTTCGTGAGTTTCGAACACGAGATATCCTAATAGAAATCACATGTTGATACTAAACAACCATTTGCCGTCGATTTCAAACTGGCACATACTGAAATTTTATATTTTGTTAACGATATTAAAAAAGGACTGTTTTGAATTTACAAGGTCTATTCAAGTTTTCTATTTATTGCTTACTTTATATTTTGTATTTTCGTCATTTGTAGTTCCCCTATTGCGATATGAAGACGTTTCACTGAGACATTAATATGTTGATTGGCGGTGATTTTAAAGCTGTTTTGAATTCAGCCTTTTACTATAGATTGGAATATACCTGCTTACTCTATCATAATAAACGTAATAACATTGATTTATTCATGCCGAGTGTAGTATAATCATTATGTATTTGAATCATAGTTGGCGAGTCGAATTCTTTGTGACGTTTGGGTCCTTATGTCTGACGCTGCCCAATCATAAATGAGGTGAAATTTCATGATTTGATAAATACGAAGTTAGGTCTTTGTATGAATAATTAATTTATGTATATGTTACGACAATAGTGACCGACTGCCATATTATGAATATTGGTCCAGGCAATAAAAAAATGACAAGAAAAACTAATACAATCTGTATTCTTGCGTCATATTTATACGTACTGTGAACTATACCTTTTTTAATTTTTTGCGTTTTAGAATTGTAATTTAATATATAACAATAACATATTCTTAGGCTAGTTCTATAGGTTCTTTACTCGTCGCGTGATACTACCGAGAACAATCATTCAATATGCGGGGAAGAAAAGGCGTATTGGCACCGCAGAATTCATTCTTGAACACGATAGCAACTAGGTTTTATGGAACCCGTGAGTAAATTTGTACATATGTACTCTCGTATGACAAATCGATATATCTGTTGATTGTCAAAAATGTATTGATATTTTCTGGATAAATTAGCTTTGATTTTTTTTTGTTAAAATGACAGATTTCTCGTGAATTTGTTCATTCACATTTTATTCGGTGGTTTCATAGTGAAAATTGCGGGGATTCAGTTTTGCAGTGATGATCCGTATCTATTAATCTGCTTTCACTGGTTCAATAGGTATCGTAATCAATATTCATTTTTTCAATTAAATTGGCCACTTTGACACTCAGAGATTCTATTCACCTTAGACTAGATTTAGAATCTTGTTTATTCATTTTCGTTACACCTGAGAGCTGTTCTGTTTTTGTCCCACATTTTTGGCCCAACATAATCCTTACCTTATATAGATTTGTTTTGTCTTGTTTTTTTATGATAAGTCGTTGTACTCTAGAATTGGAGTTCTATTCTTGTATAGTGTGCCTTGTCATCATCCACAAATAAACATTAATACTATTTTGTTTGGTACTATGACATGAAATGTGCTTTGTTTGATATACAATGCAATTAACTTGTGGCGTAACATGCCATAAATTTCAATATTAACATGTAGATATGTTCGAAGCATTCAGAAATCTATCTCATATTCAATATTTTCGTCAATAAAGTTTAAAGAGAACAATAATGAAATTGTAATGCTGTCGTCATGAGAATAAATACCTGGAGTTCGAACCTCCCCACCACCGTTAGACGTCATAATAAAAAAAGCCATACGTTTTAATTCGAGAATGTCGTTATTTACGGGAGTATTACAGTGGGTGGACTATAGGGAGACCCTGATCTGGTTGAAAATATAGCAGTCCGTTGGGTATTGATGACATATCAAGAGTCTTGTTCAATATGATGCACCGCCATGCTTTCTCTTAATTTTGGTAATCATAAATGACCGATTCTAATAATTCCTTAAAATCGTCTTGATGGTGGGTGCAAAATCGTTTTTTAATTTTACATAAAAAAGGGGTTTTAATTTTGAAGCTGAGCATTGGAAATTTAAAACACTTTACTTTAAATTAGACTTGACTTCGCTTTGGAAACGTTTCGCTAGTAGCGATGGAAAATTTCTTTGAGTTTGAAATGAATTCTAAAGAGTGTTGTTTTCTTCGCACACGGCGCTTCGAGAAACAGGATAAAGTACGTAAAACATTTCGACATTCACGCCCATGGTATGAACCCATAGTATTAACTGATTCCAGATATTACGTATTATTACTGAGTGGAGTGTGTTTCAATGAAAAAGAAACAAATTAAGAAGTATATTCATAATTTATGAGCATAAACAATGACACGATTCTGTCATATCGCCACACGCACTGCAGGGTGGATGCGTCGAATAGAGGCGTCAAATAGTTATGTAATATACTGAGTTGCTATTAAAACAAAACTAAAATTCTATCGATTTTCACGTAATTTCAATTACTGACATGTTCTGTTAAAAAATGCGAGGTATTTACTGTTTTTTCGGGGTTATCCAATCTGATTCATAACCCACAAAATATATTTTAACAGTTAACAGATCCTGTTTGTTGGCCCTTTTACCACCTTCATGTGCGTTTTAGTTAATAATATTTGTTTATTTAATTTGTATTATTTTACTACGATTGAGTCACCCGAGTCAAGTTGTCCACTAAAATAGTGTGAATTTACTTTTTTTTCTATATTGTATTAAATAAAATTGGATTTCTCCGATCCATACTCAGACAATTTGATGCTCAATACTTGTATCCAAGTTCAGCCTTGTATTCATAAATCTAATCCCCCTTAATCCTAGGACATGAAAAGTGTTTTTCCAAATTGATATTTTTAATTCGACAATAAACTTTACGTGGTACTTTATAAAGTATTACCCTCTATTGAAAATAAATGGATGATGATGTACAACGATTGAAGTACTTTAAATTCAAGTCACTGTTAGAATTTTATTCGATACAATAAATGTCATTAAGTCGTAATATTTACACAATTGACGAAGCAGCATAAAAAAATATAGGAGGCACTTATAACATAAAATTTTGAAAACGCTCATTATGAAACTTATATTTTATATACACGAAGATGAGGCATTCGTTTCAAACATCTTTAGGCGGCATTAGGCTTTGATGAGCAAATATTAACGTTAGCGACCACCACCAATTGTACAAAAAAGAAGTGAAATGGAAAAGGATGTACTTCGTTTAGTTGGCTTAAAACTTTGTAGTAAGCGTTCAGAAAATTTGCGCTGACGATCACCGCTAAGGTGCTTATAAATTCGCAAAAAATAAACCGTATAAATATATATTTCCTCCTATCAAACAACTTCAGACTGAGCAATAGACGACGATACCTCCGATTCACCATCCGCGACTCAGAACAGGTCTTATGTCGTCACGTGTTCTGGTACAACGAGATGTGGTATTATAATGTAAAAAACTCTGATGATGACTTCATGTTGAGACGGCCCAACTTTTAATTGGCTTCCCAACGATCCTTCCCGTTTGTGGCACCATATGATAAATAATTAAAACATGCAAATGCATTTTTTATTTACCATTATTTCTCGGCACTTTTAAATCTCCAATAATTACCTGTATTCATCAATATCTCCCCGCCTAAAAATAACTCAAACTCTAAGAAACAGAGTTTTAACAATTGAAAATCGATGTTCCTCATTAACAATTGTCAGTAAAACTTTAAATAGTTTCCCACAAGAGTTGTAGCGCGGCCTACAACTAGGCTACTTATGAATAGTAAAACAATGAAAATAGGATAAAAAAAGGAGATGGTTACTTCCAAAAGTAATGATCAATTTATTTTTATGCATTTGGTCTATTATTGTACGGTCCATTAATAATAAAATTTCATGAGAAATAAAATGACATTATTCATTGTCTGAAATGACTGGTTTTATATGAAAAACATCAGACGACTCTAAATGCAAATTTCAAACGGCACGAAAAATCCAAGACCTAACCCGGCCCTTTCATAATTGTAAGATTAAATCGCTTAAAACAACGAATACAAACTTGGGGGAAAAGAGGGCTAAAAGCGAAGCGAATGCATTTTGTAGTATACATAAGTATATATGATGATCGATTTTGATGAGCTTATTCAAAATTTATTGTTATTTCTATTTATAGATACTTTTGTTAACACACGCATATAGAATGTGATGTAAAAATTAATTTAAAAACTTCAACTATAAAGTGTTTCATTGCTACAACCTGAAGATATTCTTGCCTTGTTTTTGCATACACACTTTTTTCAAAGTCTAGTGCAAATTGGCGAATGTTTTTTTACTCTAACCTACAACAAACAAAAGAAAACGTTCAACCAAATATTATCTAATCACCATAAACTTGAAATTGATAAGTGGATCTGTAACTTTCGTGTTTGCTGTTTAAGGAATGAATTACAAGACTCGTGAATATAAATATGAAAAATTGTAGCGATGTTTTACACCATTGGATTGCGCTTCTGAAGGCTGCGTGTCCTAAAAATATTTTGATGCGCTGGACCGTGGCAATAAATCAATATACCTTTACCAGTTTATAATGTTATTGAGATAAATTGTATGTTATTAAATTGTTCGGATTCTTTGTGAATTTAGTCGTTTTCGTTTCACTGTTCGTCTTTTTAATTCTAATTGACATTATACAAAGCAGCTAGTGTGGGCCCATGCCCTAATACAGCAGTGACATTTTATACATCCTTTGAAAATAGAATTTTTATGTTCAACTATAAAATTTGATTGTTCAAATCGTCTTAAAATTAAAAATTTATGCGGTTTAATCGAGTATAAAATATTTTTTTATTAGTTTTTTTACATTAACTGTGTTATACATCAAAATTAAACTGTCTGAAAAAAAAAATGAAATTCATAATTTGGTAGTTCTGTACAGAAAAGCAAGATATATGCGTTTATAGATTTATATTTCTAGCCATTAATCCCACGTCAAGAAATTAACTTTAGTGTGACCAGATAAAAACATTCTATACGCGAAAGTATTTATTAAATCGTATTTCCACCAAATGTTAATGATTTTGAACGTAAACATCATTTGTATATACTATCATTCAAACACAAATATGAACATGAATATACGTATATATAAAATTGGACACAAGAAGGGGATCTCATATAGCTTCCTTTCATAATATTTGCTATGATACAGACAATGCCGACATTTATTCAACATTACCTAATCTTCTAAATACAATGTGAAAATATACAGTGATTGTCGTATGTCCATCGAATAATTGATTGTGCCACTATATGACCGCCGCGCTTATGTCCCTTGGGATCGATTTCGACTTTTATAGCGGACCTGAATTTTAAATTTAAGATTATGAAGCCTCGAGAAAATCACAAAAAACTGAATGCAGATAAATGAGATGATGTATGTTACTTCAGTGAATATTTCACAATTGTCTAAGAAGATGAAAAATATTTTAAAGATATTGAATATTATTTAATTTATTTTCTTATATTGGTTTATCGAATTAACAAACTCAAATCAGGCATAGAGGTTTTCGTTCTTTAGTTTCAACAAATGCAGTTTGGAATTCCGTATTTGATAATTAGCACTAAGTAGGCGAATTGTATGTAGGTGATCATTTATCAGAAATATCATACCAACTATAATTCTGTGAAAAATCATTAAATCGCAAATTTGAATTTATTTCTCGTTACCCATTGCTTTTTAACGGACAACAAATCATTTTATAAACCTGGTATCAGGTAACATGAATTTTAAATAGTTTTGAGATACTTAAGTTTAACTGTATTTATCCACAAATAAAGTGTGGATAGTCTTCACTATCAACGATCCTAAATATCGACATTTTGTTAAAACCATTGTTGTATAAACGATGCCCAAGTGTGATCGAGTGTTCGACCTCTGGTAAAGAAAATTTTTAAAGTAAAATCGATGGCGATAGGAACGGGTGGTAAATTCCGTTTTCGCTGTA